GAGATAATACGGCCGGAAGTAGTGCCGTTCTCGTGTCTATAATCACACCGTAACGGAACCGCAATGATGGACACCGCGTCGAACCAACTTTTTCATTAATGTTGATTACGGGTTAATCACTTGCATTTTTGAGCAACCATCAGGCCAACTAACGATTTGCAATTGGAAAACGTATCTTGGAAACATTACGATCGTCGACTTGACCTTTTAGATATGAAATACGCTTGAAAAGAGAGAAAAGGCATCCCTTGCGTAGTATTTTCCTATAGTTTTACAGTGTTATTTGATTATTATTGTTCATTCAAAAACGATACTAGGTAATTCGAAATATCATTTCAATTACTTTATTGTCTTTTTTCAGGGTTGAATAGTGTCTAAGTAGTTGAAAAGATAGAAGTTAAATAATTTTAACTTAATTTAGTTACATTTTATCGGTAACTTTTGACTTTTAATTTCCTTCTCTCTTAGGCCCGGTTTTTAATTTTCTGGTTGATTGTTAACCAGAGGTTATTCGACTCTCTGTCTCTATTTAGAATAACAATATAAAGAAAGATAGAGGGTCTGGTTAATTGTTAACCACAAGTTAGTCGATTCTGCAGCTGTTTCTATGTTATTATCTGAGAGGAGACAGAGAGTCGACTAACATCTGGTTAAGAATTAACCAGAAAATGAAAAACCGGGCCTTAAAATTAGCCATGCCATAAACAGAGGCGCCGCGAGATGCCGTGCGTCTGCCTACATTAGTAAGTCTCTGAGATTTTATGTAAAAATAAAACATTTAGCTTTTGACTTTTTAATTTTTTTATTATTAACTTAACTCTTAGTTTAATTAATTGCATTACGATTTAACTTGTATCTTAACTAATGTAAGTTAAATTTTCAAGGCTGTTAACTTTAACTTGGTTAAAAAGAAGATAACTTACCCAACCCTGGTCTTTTTAAATATTATTGCTGCAGCAATATCATCGCATTGATATGCGGCAACATATTTTCCTCGATGTGATCCTATTGATAATTCGAGGCATCAAATCTACTTTTGCAACATTTCATCGGGAACAATCCTTGTTGGAATTCGTCATTTAGATAAAGTTCTCGAGGATGAAATCCATTCCAGGCAACGAGGCGTGTAATTGCTGGTGTAAAAAATATATCGCCGTCATAAAAGAAAAGGTATTAAAATTCGACATGTGTGCGTGTGTGTTTATGGAACCTAGAGTACATACACCGTGCACGGCCCGGAGTATGCACTCACACACCAAGGCCGTTATCACCGCTCGCGCGCGTGTGCGCGCGTCGTAATTTTAGAATCAAGGAAACTAAGCTAATGATATCCGACGATATGTCATTTCTGTCTTAGACACTCCCTAATTCGGTACCGATTTACATTCTCTCTAGGCAGATAAGAATCCAAGTATGCGCCATTATCGCGATCTCTTACAGAATTTCCCTGTCGCGAAATCACCTTTGCGCGATAAAATATCGCTGCGCTGCGATTGCAAAACTTTCGCAAATATAACGTGTAAAATGTAAAAGGATAATGTCATTTGTTTCGTAGTTAACGTTTTGATAGAAACTATTAATTTTAATCCTTCGATGGATTGTTTGACTTTCGCCAAATCTCGAAAAATTCTGACTAATAAAAATTACAGTAGTGACCGTGTGGAACGAAATCGGAAAAATTAAATTCAGAATAAAAGTTAACAAACATTTGAATTTCTCGTGTAACGCGATTTGGCAAATGTAGAATTAAATCATTATTGCAATAAGTTATATAAATATGACTGTATGAAGTTTTTCCTCTAAAACAGCACTTACATCGACGTATAAAAATATAGGATTGATTAAGATCGTCTAATTAAGATCCTTGAACGTAAATGGTAATATATTAGTAGAATAAATTTAAATTCATTCCGACAGTTTTGATCCATTAATAAGATATTAATTATATACACTATGTTCTCTTCAAAAGGTAAACTACGAAGCGTAATTGCCATGTTCCGGTAAGCGAATAAAAGGTGTAATGATCACCTCTCAGTTCTATTGCAAATTATAAGAATCTTCACTCACGTGATTCAGCGTACGCAATTTTTTTCAATAATGTTTTCTTGGCGCGAAGGCCTTGATAAAATGTATGTATAAAATTCTACGAAGAGTATCACATCAAAATGCAAATATTTCACAATTCCGCGAATTTTACGTATTTTATTTTGATCCCTGAATTCCTCGCTTTCGTAAATAATGGCAGTTTTTTAAGTCTCTCACTTTAAACGGCTTTGGATAGATTTTTTAATGTGTCTATTTGTTTTCTAAAATTCTAAAATTTCTAAATTATTATGAATTTTTAATTTCTTTTAAACTTTTTTCTAAATTTTGTTAACAAGCGCTCGGAGCACACATTTATCTTTACGTACAAGAGTGTATATTTACATTATCTTATATGTATATAATCCGTGTGCGTATGCAGATAAAGAAAAAACTGCGCACATTTTATTCCCCTCCTTTAGTAATACCAATTGATAATATTAGTCAAATATGTTTGACAAACGGGCTGTCGGCGAGTGATATTGCAGAAAATCCCGTTCGTTCTTTCGATTTCGATGTTCTCTTACTATGCCACACTCGACGATTATAAACATAATGCGCTAACGATTATCCGTTTAACTCACTGACAGCTGACATTAGCACACGAATTCCCGTGCGAAGCGGCCGCGCGTTCTCTCGCGCATTGCTTCTGATACTCCCAGTTCTATCTGCGCTTACCTTTCTACAGGTGATAGGACCATAACATGTACAAGCAGTTCCAAAGATACGAACGCGTTTTCGCAATGTACAATTTAATTTCTCATCGAGGTGTTACCACACGATAATTGGCTCTTCTTTCCTCATCTTTTAGTTTTCTTTTCTATCGAAATGGTAAAAAAGAACAGGAAATTTTTATCTTGACAAAGTTAAATTTTTATCTTGATGAAGTTCACCCTAACAGTTTTGTTCCTAATGCAGCGAATTGATAAGAATGAATCGTCCTGTACAAGAATTAGAATGCCAGGTATATATTATAGATATATTTCCTCATTTTACGCCACAATTTATTTCCACGTCAAGCAAACTGAGGTTTCTACATTTCATTTGTCTACGGTTTCCAGAAAAAGCGATCAGTATGAGGCCAAACGAGCTGAGATGAATTTTAATTGTCTACACAATCTATTGTACACTCCCAATCCACTTATGATTCAGCCCGAATGCAGTATCTGTCATTAATTTAAATCGTCAACTAGAAAAATCACTTTGTATATGTTTATATTCCATAATCCTGTTTGTTCTTATTCAATCTTTTTTCTTTGCTCATGACCGATTGCACTATTTTTATCGAATATTTCAAATACACTGATAGAAAAATATGTACCATTTGAAACTATAATTGCATAGTAATTATAGTCAGGAATATCATTTGTATAGTATTTACTACTATAATATTAGTAATATAGACACAGTGATGCCGACTATTTAAAACATTTACTATAAAATATAAGCTTTTAACTATTATTCTGTTAAAATATCCAGGCAATGAATAGTAAATTAGTTACTTATTTTTACACAGTAAATACAATCAAAATAATAGTAAACTTAACTACATCTCTATCATCCGCCTTACTAATCACATGGTAAACAAAAGTGAAGTGGTTCGAAATTACCTCATTGAAGGAACGCGCGGTATAAGACTTTCTCGTAAGAAGAAAACCGCATAGGGTGTTAAAAATACGGATAAGTTTATACATTTGTATAAGATTACTTATCTTTTCTTCGAAAGATGCTTTCTTGTACTTTCTTCGAGTGCGAAGAGATTACATATAGTTGTTCGAAATTTTATTTGTGGTTGCTGTTGCAATATTTATAGTACACCTTACCAAATGAAAGGCTCGTTTTGGTTTATAACAACCATATCGTAAGTTGCATGGACCAATATTGTATCTATCAGAACTATAATACATTGTTAGGTCAACCATAACTTACGCAGTTGGGAGAATGATAAAAATGTGGTTGGCTCCTGAAACGACTATAAATTATAGTGAAACTGTGGTGGCTGCAACCTTTTCTTTTCCATCAATCGCGTATACGCGATCCAAGTATTCTACGTAAGTGTAACTATATACACTGATAG